AAAACTGTAGTTGTAGATTATCCTTTCATTCTATAAACCAGTAACTTTGTGCAGTGTCGGTTTGTATGTTTGTATGTAGGTTTGTAGGTATGTATGTATGTTTGTCTGTCCGTCCGCAAAATACTTCACGGGTTCGAGTTCGCTGGAGGCGAAAACGACCGCTAGGCAAACCGGTAACCGACTGGGAGGATGTAGCAGTCCAATGATTTGATTGTGATAACAGCCTCCGCTATATAAGACAACCATTCGGTACACTCCGAGCCATTGCACGAGCTGCTGGCGTGGCAGCTGGACGTGTGCTCGTGCGGGGGCAGGGTGGGGGTACCGGGTACCCCCTGCCTCCCTCTCCTGCACGTGCTCAGCCGGAGCTGAGCAAGTGTATGGGAGGGAGGCAGAGGGGAGGGTCGCGGGGAGAGGGGGGTACAGTGAGGGCAGTGCGCCCGTAGGCGACCGATCATTTAGTAGGAGGGACGCGCCACCAAGGGATGAGGAAACAACCGCTAACAAAACTGCAAGGCAAACTATGTTACCGTAACGAACTAAGAAGTTGTTTTGGTTGTGATAACACTATCCACTACATAAGAAAACCACTACACTCCGAGCCATTGCACGGGTTGCTCGCGTGGCAGCTGGACGTAAGCGCGTGCAAGGGGCAAGGGGGGGGGGTGGAATGGCGAGTACGGAATGGGGTGAGGTGAGGAAGGTGGGAGTTAGATGGGGAGAAGGGGGTCGAGTGACCTCCTTCTCCCCATCCTCACTCGCCTTGCGCCGTACTTCAGTCGTGGGTCTGAGCCCATGCAGGGGATGGGGCATATGGACTTGCATGGGGCAAACGGTGAGTACAGTAGGGGATGCCGTTAGCGTTAACGCCTTGAAATAGAGCAGTTTGTGCCAACGGAGAGAAGGAAAAGGAGCTTTATTGTATTTGAGGCTTTATTTATTTTATTTGATCTATATATATCTAGTATTATATTGATTATTATATTATATATATATTATTATAATTATATAATATGTCATATATTATATATAGTGATTATACTCACACGATTATATATATTATATTATATTTATTAGAGCTTTATTTATTTATTTGATTAGAAGACAGCGGTTAGTCACCATCATAAATGCCTAAGACAGTAGTATCGCCCTGCTTATGCCTTACTTTGCTCCTTTCTTTCACGAGTTAAGAAGTGAGGCTCTAAAGCAGTTGCATGAGCCCGGCGAAGCCGGGCTTCCAAGAAGGAGGAGAGCTCGGCGTTAGCCGGGCGATCCGACTGGTGAGTTATATACTAGTAATAGAAAGGTCCAGGTATCGAAGTTGGATAACGACTCCTTTGAGATACTGGTAGCCACCATTTCAGCAAGACCTATGATCATAGCTCGAACAGCCGAAGGAAAAGGATTATTGCTTTACACGCCGTTATTAAGTGGCCCTGATCAACGAATTCGACATTCATGGATTTGGTGCCGAAGCCATAGGGGCGCGACATGGCTTCTGGATTCACCCTTCTGAATGTGCGGGCGACTAGGGGGTTGCGTGCTTGCCAATATCACTTGGAAAATTCTTAAAAAAAAAAACGCCCCTTTTTTTAAATGTCATCACTGTACTTTTTCACCTTAACTTTGTGCTGTCTTCAATGCAGAGGTCGACGAGGAGCCGTAGGTGCTTGCACACTGAACATTAGTAGGATTAGAAAAGACTAGAAAAAAGGCTCAATACGCTTTCCCTCAGCAAACCCTGCCGCTCATTTTTTGGCATGCCCAGAAACGCATAGAAAAAACGAAAACCATTTCCGTGATCCTTATATGAATTCCTACAATAACAAACCACTTCTAAAAATCGCGCCACCGCTTCAGTGACCTCCCTTGTCAGTGTTTGTCATCCTGTCGGACGAATCTGGCACCTTTATTGTTTCCGGTGGGTAGAAGGATGGTTGACCAGGAACTAGTTGGGGATTTTACACTTTAACCGCGCGCCATGTACGAATACCACTTGCCACTACAACCTCAGCCACCGTACCAGAGTTGAACGGTGGGAGCTGGTTTATCGAGACAATGGTTACCGCATCTTTTGTAGAAAGCCCCAAGGTTTGTTAGGCGAAGTTCACCCGGCAGGCGGCAACAGCTGAAAGAGAGTGCGTACCGCATGGCCCACGAACTGTATAAAAACAAAGAGTAATAGTCATGAATAGAAAGAAATAGAAAAGAAAAGACGTAGTACAATAAGCGAAAAGCACATGAAGCTCAAATAAATTTAGCTGCAATATCGTAAAACGCAGCGCCCTCCCCTCATTTTGCTGTACATCGTACTATTAGCTTGTCCGGAAAGTTTGAGGAGATTTTGCACTTTTAGTTTGAAGAAGTGTAGCAAGCGAATGCCCCAGCAGAAAGTCATATATCAAGTGCTATGAGAAAGAGAAATGTTTGTAGATCAATACTAATGCTGGTTGTTATTATTCTCCATTGTTGGTATGATTTGACATTACCTGAAAATGTACGAGCGCGCACGACTCCCAACGCCTTTTACTTCATCTTCACCGTTCTGGCTCCTCTATCGGTCAAATCGGGAATGAGGAACCGCCTCCGATGCTGGATAAAATGCGCTTCAAAATTATCTATACTAGGAGATCAATCGGTCTCTTCCATGGAAGTTTAGCTTAGATGTTGCGTACGCCCCCTCATTCTCAGTACTCGCTTACAAGGGAGGTCTTTCAGGTCGTGGCGCGCTTGGAAATGGTTTGTTGCTTGTTGTAGGGGTCCATACAAGGATCACAAAAATGGGTTTCATTTTTGCTATGCGTTTCTGGGTAGGTCAAAAACTGAGTGAAAAGAATTTGACAAGAATGGGCGGTTTTAACAACCTTAATGGGCTCCGTTCTGCTTGTAACTTCGAGCATGCATAGTTTATGAGGTGGTCACTAATTAGGCCTCAAAATAGATTCGATTAAAGTCAAAATGTAAGTATCATGTGGTAACACACTTGGCATGCACCGACGCAAGAGTGATGTTTTTGTCAGCGCTCCCTTCATGACCATTGCTGGCGGATCGGATGGCGTAGCGGATAGCACGATGGATTCTGGATGGCACGACAATGCGGGACTCGGTTCGGATCCTCATTGCGGCAACAGTTTTGCCGAGAACATTTCCGGAAACAAGGTTCTCCACACAACTGTGCTGGTTTGTAAGGTGTCATCCAGGAAAGGCCAACAGGACAACCTGGCCATTTGCAGTGAGTGCATATCATTGTACTCGTCTTGACACAGTGAACTCGAAACTACCTTCAAAATTTGCGGAACGATTCTCTGAGCGGGATTATGAAAAAGTTCCTTCACTGTTTTTCTTCTTGCGAGTGGGCTGGCGCAG